TATTTTATAAAGTAAAAAACACTTCTTTGGAAGTTCTCACTGTGACGCAATACTGCACATCAAATCTGAAAATGATCTGATATAAATTTTCAGTGACGCTTGCATTCAAATACACAAACAATTTTTATATTGCGTTGCCTCTCTCATTCTTAGAAAATTAAAAATGAAAATTTCATTGTGATAATGCCCACGCATTAGATAAAAATATTTGGATTCAACGATAAGCATTGGATAAAAATATTTTAGCATTTTAGATTTGCCGCGAGCAAAGCACAACAATGACCATTGTGGTTTTTTTTTTGTTATTACCAAATGTGCTGGGTAGATCCCAGCAAAGGTTCACCATATTGAGCGCTGCTCCAAAGTTAAATGCCAAGTCTGATATATTCGAAGGCTCACTGAATTTGTTATTTATTAGCGTGGCGGACGACGTTTCTAACCTAAAGAACACTTCCTTTAAACTTTATCTACTAACTAAGTTTATTGATTTCATTGACTCGTATTTTGCGCTAAAACAGAGAGAAGGGTGAATTTAATCGTATAATGAAAGAAGAAAACATTTCTTTAATTTAATAATTTAAATAGAACTTACCCAATCTAAAATAACATTTTCTATGAAAAAAGTAAGGTATAATTAATCAGCTGATGCTAAGGTTTGCACTTTATTACGCAAGATGATGCTATGATGACACCATTACATAAGTGTAACAAAACCAACTACAGAGTGTTTCGCAATTTACAACACTTGTGGTAATCGCTGTAAATATGTAAAAAAAGTCATGAAATTTATCGCGAAATTACGGTCAACATTTTTCTCGTATTACATTTGAAATATGACACAGTAAAAAAAAAATCGAAGAGTTTACAGTTTGAAGACTAACTTAAAATGTATTCATTTGAATATTTTGCTTTCCTTGCGGAATTATTTGTTTTGACGAAAAAAGATATCTTTTCGATTACCCGCAAAAATATGCGAATGAATGCAACTAATTTTATTATACATAATTAGTACGTGCACTGTACGGAAAAGAAAATAATAAACTCATATCGATTAAACAAAAGCCTATTGCATCTTTAAAGTAAGTCGAATGAAATTTATTTTTCAATACATACATAAGTTTAACCATCTCGGAATACGATGAATCACTTTCTGTACTCCGATTGAGTGTTCTTGTAACCATTCTGTAATGACTTTAAACACAATGTCATTTTCACTCTTGAAGTTCTTGAAGCAACATTTAATTTTTATCTCCGAACTGAAATTCATCGATATTAAATAAAATGAAGGATCATGTGAAGGCATATTACAAATGCTTCAATGTGAATCATCCTATCAGTTGTGATTTAAGATACGAAAAAATGTATTCAAGCATTTATTTTTGTTCGCAGCCAAGTAAATGCCCTATGTGTGGCAACTTAAACTACCCATACAACGCCGTAAACTGCACTTTTTCTTACCTTTCAAATTTTATTTAATATATACAAAATTTAGTTGCGAAATAGAAAAATCTAGTGTAATTTGATTTTATTTTTATTTATTGTTAATTCTAGGATCAATAAATAACACGATGTCATTCAGAACAGTTTAAAAAGCGCATAAAAAATATGTGGTCGATAATGATCTAAGTCTGGAAATGTTAGGTTGGAAATTTAAAGCTTACTCAAAACACGCTCTAACGGCGTTTATTCATATTGCTGTAAAAGTAAATGTTTGATAAAATAAATCCAATAAAATGCCGAATATATTTTATTTAAATCTTTGAACAATGTAAATATGTATTGGTTGCTTTTTCCATCGTCTATAAATGTCGTAAATGTTGCGCAATGACCATACTCTTATTTTATGCAGCGAACTCCTGATATTTAAAATATAGAGAAAAATTTATTTTATATAACACATTCTTAGTGATGTGATATCGTAGAATAATCGAAATAATTTACCTCTTTATATGGACTATTCATAAAACCACATACGGGGCATAAACTTGGATGTAAGTAACAATAAGAGATGAAAGAATACATTTTTTCGTAACATCTCGGTTGGCTCAATGGATGACCGAAACTGTCACATTTATAATATGCTCTTACATAATCATTCATCGTATTTAATACCGTTCAGTTACACTTTCAAGAGATAAGTTAGATGTTGCTCCAAAAACTTCCAAACTGGTAGTGACACTGACTTCGAAAAGAAAATTCAATAACTGAATCGAATCGAAAGATCAGCATATCCAAAAATAATAAACGTTATAAACTTCTTGTGAATCACATTTGTTTTTTTCTCATAAATTTGCAGTTTTTTAGAAGCCTGTGTTTACACGTTTGCAATTTAAATGTTTTGGATATGAGTTGATTATGTATGAATGACTCGTCAGGTCGTTGAATATACTTCTTTTCGTCAAAATAAATATTTCTGTAAATATAAGCGAACAAGTTCATGCTCAAGTTGCATCATTTTCAATCATTTATTTACATAATAAGTATTCAATACTTTTCACAAAATTGAAAGGTAAACAGCCCTGATTCAAAATGATCGGAGATTCGGGAAGAGCCTCTTTTGAAATAGTCTTATGAAAACAGTTGTCCACGTGTATCGATGAACAATATGTTTATTCGATTGTAGAGACTTGAAAAACACAATAAATAGGCCATACGGCATGTGTATAACTACGCACGCTTTTTTTTTGGAGTATCATCCTTGGAATCTGATACGATGTTGTTATATTTGATTTGGCTGTTTGTAAATGTACCCGATCATCGTTTACTTTTGCCAAAACAATTTTTTGTCGAATGTCTCGAGTAAAATTCTATTTTTAGTCATTTTACTATAGAAATATCACATATCCAAGCCAATAATTTTGATTATGACGACAAAGAAACAAAATTTCAATAGCACTTGATGAAAATGTTGATGATTTTTCAAATCTGCCAATTCACATCAAATATAATCGTAAAACAAAAGGCTATTGAAATGTTAAGGCCATGCTGTCCGAATTGACTTATGTGGCAACAGCAAACAACTTGCCTACAAAAATTGATGTTTATCAGTAGAAGAGTGTTTATGTTAGCAAGATAGGCGGGCAAATAAATACGAATCGAATGCAATGACATCAGTCTATTAAGCATGGCATGGTGATATAGAGTATTTCTTGTTTATAAACACTCTATGAAGTAGAAAGCGCCAGAATAATCTTAATCTCGATGGTTTTGTTGATTGAATTGTCTTTCGGGCACATGCGTTTTTTTTACTTTTAAAAATAACACCTTTTATTAGACAATTGAATACTTGCTCTAAGCAACGAAATTAATTTTAAATTGTAACTTGCAATCTCTTTCCACGTGAATAATTCAAGTTGCACTTGAAAAAGAAAAAAGTCAGTCTGTTGCCCAGCACAAATTTATTCGTATTCGTCACAATGATTTCAAGCTTGTAATTAATTTTCGCAACATTTCAAAGTTTTTTATAGAAATTTGGAGACATAGACGAAATTATCTTTTCACCTTTTCATACAAGTCTTTTTGGTCCTAGTTTGGTATTTGGAGGTTGTTTTTGCGGCATGACTTACACATGGTATTTGATAAATACTTATGGGAACGTAAATCAAAACAAATCAGCCGGTGCGAGAGAAACAAAGTACTTGAAAAGTTGTTTACATTTTCGCGTTTCTTATCAAGATAGTTGATCAGATGGAGGGTAAATCAATGAACCCATTTACCTATAATAGAATACATATAGGTAAAATGATCAGCTGTTTTCAATCACGTATGCCACACGGTGAGGTCGGCACCGTTGAATTTTCAATGGCAAAACGCGGCGAACATAAATGGAAGTCATGGAACTTTTTGTTTTGTTTTGCACTGGCGCACGTTTCAAATTCAAACATGACTAATAACACTGAAATAGTAGCGAACGCAATGTATTATCAAATTTGATTACGTAGCACCGATGTTAGAGGCACTGTTTTTGTTGCAAAAATATTTTAAAAGGGTTTTTTATAATTGGAAAATTTCTAACAATTTTAGTGTAGATTTTGATGAATATCGTTTTGTAATTTATTGCATTTTTGAATTTTGATGACGAAAAAATTGGTTTTCCCAGCAATTTGTATGTCATTTCAATATCATTTATTTATTTGAATATCTAAATCAACGGAAAAATCTAGAACAAGCTAGAATCTTCACTATTTTACAATATGATGTCAACACGCAAAATGAATCTAATGCCACATTTTCCCTCTATTTTGTTTCTTTCAAAAATGAATAATCAATTTTATCCAATAGTGTAATCGATTAAGTCATCATTGAATTAATTACAACACAAGTGTAATAACAAAAACGGCATAATTCTGAAAAATACTCATTTAAATGCAGAGTAAATGCAAAAATAACTTCAGTTCAATGGTAAAAATAGACGCATTCACTTCGACGCTTAAATTTAGTGGGAATTTTTTTTCTTCAAAGTAATGAGTTTCAAAAGTTTTATTTTAATCGTTTGCATTGCCTTTATGGTGATTCACTACGTACAATCGACTCCAATTCGATCATATTTGCGATGCTTTTGCACGAGGGACTATAATCCGGTTTGTGCGTCGAACGGAGTTTCTTACTCTAATCGGTGCTTTTTTAAATGCGCAAAACAAAGGAATATACAGCTGTACATCAGATTCATTGGGCATTGTTTTGGTTATGATTAATCTACACTAATGACACATTAGTATTCTTCAATAAATTCGAACGTGACAAGAATTTGAACATGAACAGAAGTGAGCCGAAGCCAACCATAAGATAAAAGAATTGATAGAAAAATCTTACCCTTTCGATTTATGTATTTATTCGTTTAAATATGTAAGATAAACATGTAAATAAATATTTTAACACCAACAGGTGTTGGTACTTTTTTATTTGTCAAACGTGATATATTTTTTATTTTAATTTCATTTAGAATGAGGACAACTAATATGTATTGAAATATTTTATTGCATACTCGACACATTGACCGTGACTACAAATTTTGTTTTTAAAAGGTTACGTAAGAGTTTTAAATGTTTATATGTAAGAAATTTACATATATTAGATAAATTGTGCATTTCAAGTACAAAGCCGATGTTAAAAACGAATTATTGATAGTAATCAGCAGAGTTGCAAACTACATATTTTACAAAGCAAAATAACTTGAAATTATATTAAGCTGGTGCATAATAAAGTAAGTATGATATAGCTAAAAATGTGAATTTTTCATTTGTGTATCTTTTCACTGGATTGGTTTAAAAAATGTATTGAAAAAAATTCTATAGTGTAAAAAATGGAGACTATAAATAAATCGACTTTAAACGACTATAAATAAATAAGCTACAACCTTAATCTAGATATTAGTTTTAAGCTTAATATTTTTCGTGGAGAATTAATGGCATGCTCCAAAGTGTTTCAAGCTTAAATTAGACGTTCTTCCTTGTGCACAATTCAAAAGGCATCTATTGGAATATGTTTTTCCATTTGATCCGCAGACAGGTGCATACAAAGTTGGACAAATGCACAGTTCTTCAAGCAATGGTATTTGTTGATACTTGTTACTTATTACGCCTCCACATCTTCCTTGATGTTTAACCTCAAGATTTGAATTGTGTTTTTTGTTACATCTCAATACACACTCATTCGAATAAGTATTTCCGTCTGTACCACAAACTGGTTTATAATTGAAATGGCAAATGCAATTGATCGGTGAGAGCATAGCGGCATTTTTGCATTCTCCTGGATATTTGATTTTTAATTGTTTCTTGTGTTTTTGCTCACACTTAAGTTTACACTCATTGAAGTAGGTTTGATCATCATTTCCACAGACAGGAACAAAATTTTGCGTACATAAACAATAATCTTCGGCTTTTCGTGGATTCTCTTTAGATGCTAAAATTTTAAATTGTTCATCACATGCACCGTAGAATTTGATTTTCAAATGATTACTGTATCGCCTTTCACATTCAAATGAACACTTATTGGAATAGGTTACACCATCGGTTGCACAAATCGGTACGTATTCACGAGTACAAAAGCATTTATCACGTTCGGAACTGACATGGTGCACGACCAAAACCGCGACAATCACTGCGATAATATTACTTGCATTCATATTTCTGATTTTGTTTACACAAATTTACATGAGATAAACTATTCTTTTAAACTACTTTTCCCTTACACTATTCGTTTCGGGTTTGAGCTTGAACTGATGAACAATTACGTCTTTCATGGCTATTTAAATGCAATTGTTGATTGTTTTAGCGATGAATTTGCGGGAATCACATTTAGAATATACCGTCAAAAATCCCCACTTTTGTTATTTATTTGCTTCTTTCAGAATGCAGAATGACAAAATAATTTCAATTCAAAGCAGCAAACTACTTCTTTATGGCAAACAGATTTATGAAGTTTTAAAATAGATTTAATTCTTTCAATGGATATCCGAATGAGAATGATCATGAATTTTCTTCTTCGAAGGTTATTCGAACGTAAGGTACAACCACTTGTTGCATACACTGAACAACATGACCTCTTGTTGAAGTAAACAAAGTCATAAAGTCTCTTTGATTAAAATTCAATCGCATGAAATGTCAACAAAATCGAACCAGATACATCTATATGCAGTATTAATTTATTCGACATAATATAGACAAATGCGAAGATTATAAACGTATGAAAAATGAAAGGATTGAATAAATTACTTTGTTGAAAATAAAGCAAATTAAAATTCTTTGCAAGAACGATTCTTAATAGAAAAAACACTGTGAAATTGGATATAAATAAATTCCACCTTATGAAATTTCATTTAAATCGAAAGAATAAAAACGTGGTCTTCTATGTCCAATTGTCCTCTTCAGTGGAAAAATGCATGGCGGTTAATGGGCGCTCAAAATTTTCCATCATATAAGACAGAAACAATGTCGATCAACAAAACAAACACGTGATTTGTTATTTTCAAACAAAGTCCAATATCCGCATTCTCAACAATATTTGTCTTCTTCAAGGAAGCATTGTTTGGCCTTTACTTTCTGTGATAGTTTTAACTGTATTTGTTCATCGATTGTTCCGATTATGTCCAGTTTTATCAATGTATGATGTTTGTGTCAATTTGTTTTCGTTCGCTTGACTTACCTTTAATCAGAGAAGTATAGCGTTGTTTATCTGTCAACAATATGATTTGCCAGAAGAGTCTTCAAGTAATTTCAAAAGCATGACAATACTCTTGAACAATCAAATGGAGAAAAAATATGAAATCGTGGTCAGTGACCAGAATATTCTATTTATTTTTAAATATCATAAATTGATTGTATTGAGTGGATTGCCTTTATGTGTTGATTTGAGCTTTTATTCCACAATAAACAACATCATTATTACTACGTGTATTTAGGCTCGTCATAACCACTTTGAGCACAGATAAGAATTTTCTTGTATTCACTGCATCGTGCTGCATAGACCATTTCATTTAAATAGCAGAAGAAATTGTGAGTCTTCATCAGTTCAAGCGAATAAATCAAACGATCACTTGAATCAAAATACGAATCAACATCGTGTGAATAAACGTGAAGTCAGAATTAACAGTAAATTCAAAATCAATTAAAGAAAATGGGTCTGATCAAGCTAATCGCCGTCGTTGTAATTGCTTCATTGGCAATGCAATCGATAAACTCAATACCTGTCAACGCAGGCAACTGCAAGTGTACACGTGAATATAATCCTATTTGTGGTTCGGATGGTGTTACATATTCGAATGATTGCCTTTTCGGATGTGAGAAACAACAAAACCATGACCTGCAAATTAAATTCCACGGTGAATGTGATGAAGGTGCAGATAATCTTTTGGTTGAAGACAGCGATTGCATTTGTACCACGGAGCTCCTTCCCGTCTGTGGAAGTGATGGAAAAACTTATTCGAATGAATGTTCATTGAAATGTGCGCAACGCCAACAACGTGATCTGACATTGAAATATCAAGGAGAATGCTCAAAAGATCTTCCGATTGCCGATGAAGTGATCGAATTGGATTTGGTCATTGAAAAATGTGCCTGTCCGCTTATTCTATCTCCGGTTTGTGGCTCAGATGAAAAAACATACTCCAATCAATGTGAGTTTGATTGCGAGAAAAAACACAATAAAAATTTGAAAATAAAACACAAAGGCGATTGCAAAGATGCAGCTCTCATTATACCACTTTCAACGGAAGAGTTATTCGAATGTGCCTGCCATTTTATTTACATGCCTGTTTGCGGAACTGACGAGAAGACCTACGATAATCAGTGTAGTTTAAATTGTGCCAAACGCATGAACAAGCAACTGAAAGTCAAACACCAAGGAAATTGTGATGGAATCGACATTTTACCCGTGAAGAAAGTTCAAAATTTACCTCTTGCATCAGCACAATGCATTTGTCCAGCTATTGATGCACCGGTCTGTGGATCAGATGCAAAAACATACTCTAATAAATGCCTTTTGGAATGTGAACATCGAACCAATCCTGGTTTGTTTCAAAAGCACACTGGAAGCTGCTTTTAACTCGAGATGCTTCCAACAATTGAAACCCCAAATCTAAAAATGATATTTTAAAATAATGTATAGAATATAAGTTATTTATTACATATAAAACCTCTGGAAGGAAATGTGTACTTTGGAAATAAAGGTCGAATTATATGAAATAATCATAAGCCTTTTTCTTTCTTTCGAATTGTTCGCATTTTTCTTTTTTGAAAAAAAAAATACGATGTTTTTGCTCATCGTAGGAAAATGAATTGGAATGATTATTTATTATAAGCATTTAATATATACGTTGGGTATAAACGCCGTTCTTTTTTAAGATATTTCAGTAATTTGATTTACATATTTGAAGTATTGTGACGACAAACGAATGTGTAAAAATTGGTCATTTGTTGCAAATCTATTCACACGTCATGAAATCATCTTGAAAACAGTCTTGATTGGCAACAAATTATTCTCCATAGCAAATTGGTGAACATTTTATTTCAAAAAGGTGTCAAGTGATATGTATTCGGAATACTTTCTGAAAACGTATTGATATGATCGCTGTAAAAAAATCTTGAGCGTAATTACTGGGTCACCCAAAATTATTTTTGTTTCAGATGTTTTCTTATCTTTAAAAAACCCACCCAATAATGAATAACGTTACTAAAATATATGGAATTATCACATTATTATCGTCAAAAAGTACATATTGATTTTGGAATAATGTAAAATGAAATTCAAATGAATAATCATTTATTCTTCAATTCATATTATTTTGAACCCTTTCGAAACTTAAGATGAGCTAACTGCTAACATAGTAACAACTGAAGATGATACCTATATATGTTAAAGTTTATATTAGAATTCGTGTGTGCGCTATGAACTAATATCATATAATCCGCTTAAAAAATAACATATTTAGACTTATTCAATTTGATATGCTACCGCAATCAACGGAAAGAAAAAGTTTTTTTGGTCAAAAAGCTTGTTTTATTAAAAATATCTTTCTAAAAATGGAATTATTAACGTAAATATTCTCAAAAATGTTCTACAATAATGAGCTGAGCGTTATTTCATATATGAAAATATAAACTTAATTATTGTTTGTTTATTTGCCTTGTGAATTAAAATTATACACTTTGACAGACATAGGTTTATTTCATAGGTGATGATGAGGGTTCCTAGGGTTCGGATTACCCCCTCTAAAATCTTTTTACCTTTTTATTTGCTCTTCACTTTTTTTGGCCGAGAAAATTCTTTAGATTTGCTAGGGATTTTCGTCAAAAAAGTGAAGAGCAAAAAAAAACGATTTTATCCTCATTTCCGACAAATTGTTCACTTCGTCAGGGACCCCCTAAAAATTTTCCAGGGACCCCCTACGGAATTTTGTCATCACCCCTCCCCCCCTTAAAAATTTTACGTCATCATCTATGGGTTTTATTAAAAGTTTATTGCTAAAAGTTTCACATTTTCAATCAACATAAAAAAATTCTTACATACGTACAATAATTAGTAACAATAACTTTCACTTTGTTCGTTGAAGTACTTTGTTTTTAGATATTTTGAGTATTTTTCTAGTACTGGTATTTTCCAGTCGATTATCAGTTGCTGGGCTCGCCAAAATACGTTTGTATCGGTTTGATAAGAAATTTAATTCGTTTGTACGCACTTGAAAATTTCATATAAATACATGCCGGTAACAAGGATAATCATTAGTTCAGACTAAGAAATCAAATCGAACAGTTCAATTGAAGCAAAAACAAAAGATTTATACGAAAAGTGTTCAACGTGATATCAACTAGAAGAAAAGAAGAATCAAATAAAATTGGAAAAATGGGAGTAAACAAACTATTCGTTATCATTGGAGTCGTTGCCTTAGTGCAATCAATTTACTCTGCACCCGCATCTACTGACTGCCGCTGTATTCGTCAATATCTCCCCGTTTGTGGATCGGACAACGTAACTTACTCCAACAACTGTCTGTTTGAATGTGAAAAGAAACGAAATCACAATTTGATCATCAAATACAATGGTAAATGCAGCAACGATCAAATCGTTCCAGTTCCATACGCATCGGAAGATTGCGCCTGCACTCTTATTTTTGAACCAGTCTGCGGTAGTGACGGCAATACATATGTCAACGAATGTTCTTTGAACTGCGTGGGAAAGAACCTCAGAAGCTTAGAAATGAAACACAAAGGTGAATGCCAAGATGACGAGAAAGTTGTGCCAGTTCCATACGCAGCTGATGATTGTATCTGCACCCGAAACTTTGCACCAGTCTGTGGAAGCGATGGAAATACATACGCCAACGAGTGCACATTGAATTGCGCCATTAAAAACATAAAAGGATTGAGCTTGAAACACAAAGGAGAATGCAAGGAAAACGAAAAGGTTGTACCAGTTCCATACGCAGTTGAGGATTGTGTTTGTGCTCGAAACTTTGCACCAGTCTGTGGAAGGGATGGAAAAACATACACCAACGAGTGCAGATTGAATTGCGCCATTAAAAACATCAAAGAATTGAGCTTGAAACACAAAGGAGAATGCAAAGAAGACGAAAAGGTTGTACCAGTTCCATACGCAGTTGAGGATTGTATTTGCGCTCGCAACTTTATACCAGCCTGTGGAAGTGATGGAAATACATACTCTAACGAATGCATGTTGAATTGCGCCATTAAAAACATCAAAGGATTGAGCTTGAAACACAAGGGCGAATGCAAGGAAGATGAGAAAGTTGTGCCAGTTCCATACGCAGTTGAGGATTGTGTTTGTGCTCGGAACTTTGCACCAGTCTGTGGAAGCGATGGAAATACATACACCAACGAATGTATATTGAATTGCGCCATTAAAAACATCAATGGATTGAGCTTGAAACACAAAGGAGAATGCAAGGAAAACGAAAAGGTTGTACCAGTTCCATACGCAGTTGAGGATTGTGTTTGTGCTCGAAACTTTGCACCACTCTGCGGAAATGATGGAAAAACTTATACCAACGAATGCACATTCAATTGTGCTAGCAGGAGCAATAAAAGCTTGAAAGTGAAACATCAAGGCAGATGTTAGTCATCGAATGATAATTGAGCATAGCATAATTTAAGTTTCTGATAATAATTGATATTGATCTAATGCAAGACTTATAGCTTAAATATCTAAGATTAAGTAACTTCTATTTAAATTATTCATTGATTGTACTTTGGCCGCTGGAAGGAAATGTGCAAATAAAACGAAAAAATTCCATTACTTAAAGAAATGTTTTCTCCTTTCATTATAAGATTGAAGTTACTCCTCTCTCTGTTTTGGCCCAAAATACGAGTCAATTTAACAAATAAAAAACCTCTATCGAGGTGAAGAACGAGTGACGAAAACAAAATTTGAAACACAAAATTTCTGATATCAATTTTGTGACGAAAATAGTTGGTAGATATATTTTCTGTGTACTGTGAATTTAAACTTAAAATACATTTGTAAATTCAAAACGTTGCAGAAATTCTCTTCTTTTTACTTTGAGTTCATATTGACGCAATGAAGCAACGTTCCGAATATACAAATGTATATTAAGTTTATATTCACAGTTCACAGAAAATATATGTACCAACTATTTTCGTCACAAAATTGATATCAGAAATTTTGTGTCTCAAATTTTGGTTTCGTCACTCGTTTTTCACCTCGATAGAGGTTTTTTATTTGATATCAATAGTTTTGTAAGCGCTATTTTCAATGTTAAAGATTCAAGAAACATGAATTTGAATCTTTTTCAAATACAATGAAAATATGGATGTTTAGGTTATTTTTGGATCAAAATCATATAAATTGTGGTTCATAATGAGGAAAAGTGGTTTTTGGTATGCATATTTTTTTATGTTTGACTTGGGGCTTAAATTGATGAAATTTTCAGTTCATTCAAGAGAAAATATCCAGTCTTTTTCGAAAAAATGCCCGTAATGTGTGCGGCCAACGGTCAATTTTTGGTTTTTTGCCAATTTGGCCACCCCCACATGGAATTTTTAAGTCGCAATTGGCACCACTGGAGAGCTTAATTTAAGACCTTTCGAACGAACATGCATATGTCCTGGTTATGTCAAGTCTAGGTCCCACAGCGACCGTATGAAATAATGACCATTTTTGCATGACCTTTTGCATAGTTTGCCATTTATACTAACAATTTTGTAGATTTCTTTTAATTTCATTTGTGACTAACCGCATGCACCTCTCCCGACGATGGTCCACCTTCTGGCCTGGTGGGAGGGGACATAAAATTCGGTATTTTATCGATCTTATGCGGGGAGACTATCAAACATGTAGTTATTTGTGGTAAAAATTTCATATTTCATACATCTAGAAATTTTTGTGAAAATTCGAATTTTGGTACATTTGGACGATTTTTGGTGGAATAGCCATCCAAAACGGTCGATATTTTGTTCAATTTTGTTTGGCTAGTCACAGAGCATATCTACAGAGTCATTGGAGTACATTTTGGCCCATAAAACACTTCAAATGTTAAAAGTAACATTTTTTGTCATTTTTGGCCATTTTTGCACTACCGAAGGTCATATCTTGAAAACAAGAATTTTCTGGGATATGAGCTGTGCGGCATATTATAGCTTAGAATTGAGCCTAAAATCGGTGAAATGTTCAAAAAAATCCTTGAGTTAGTTTTCGAAATAATGTACGACATTAGGGTGGTTTTTTTTAAGGTCATTTTTCGGAATTTGTTGGGCAAATAGTTTTTTTGCGTCTATTAGACGTCAGAAACAACATACCGGTGTAATTTTTGGTTTTCGTCTCACCAGTAGGTAGCGCAAAAGCTATATCGATTCCATGGTGGATCCCTTATTTATCCCTTGGAACACTAGATTTTGTGAAAATATAAAAACATCTTTTCTCAATCATATCGGTCCGAAATGAAGAGTAATCATCATTTATGACCAGAATTTAGGTTCTGGTGAAGTTTCAAGCGATTTGAATGAAAATACGTAGAACAGTTTTTACTTAAAATTGTACATTTTGTACTGTTAGGTGAAAATATTGCTTTGCACCGGTCAGTATGGAAGTATGACAATGAAGTTGGAATGCTTTTAATTGGTATGGAAATTGTTCGTAGGCTCAAAATGGACAAACTCGGTGATTGGAATACTTCGGAAAGTCAGTTTAGGTAACTTTGTAAGGTAACTAAAAAGTGATCATTCGACCCGATTCTACCATATTTCTATATTTCCCAATGTTCAATAAAAAAATCAGTCTTCGACCTATATGGAACGTCCAAACAACTGTATACCAAAGGTATAATCAATTATTTTTGTTTGAAAAGTATTCCAGCTTCAGTACACATCAAATTATGGAGATGTGTATTACCGTTAGTACATTCTTCGATATTAGTACATTCGAAAATTTTAGGTAAAAACTGTTCTATTTTCATTCAAATCGCTTGAAACTTCACCAGAACCTAAATTCTGGTCATAAATGATGATTACTCTTCATTTCGGACCGATATGATTGAGAAAAGATGTTTTTATATTTTCAAAAAATCTAGTGTTCCAAGGGATAAATAAGGGATCCACCATGGAATCTATATAGCTCTTGCGCTACCTACTGGTGAGACGAAAACCAAAAATTACACCGGTATGTTGTTTCTGACGTCTAATAGACGCAAAAAAACTATTTGCCCAATAAATTCCGAAAAATGACCAAAAAAAAACCACCCTAGTACGACATGCGTCCGGCCGAACGGTAACTTTTTGGTTTTTGGCCAATTTGGCCACTCCAACTTGAAAATTTTGGACCGCGAAAATTTTGGACACCATTCGATAGCTGGCTTTAAGACCTTTCCAACGATATGCATATGTCCGGGGTGAGAGGCCGGCCATGGCCAACATGGCGGCCAAATCGAAAAGTGCAAGAACAAAAAAGTCTTAGTTTTTTATGTTCTTTAAGCAGAGAAATTTTCAAAAAGATCAGAAACAACTACGTAAAATCGCGGACAGACACATACACATACCAAATGAATTTTATAGAAAAATCATATGAAATTTTTAAAATTACATTTTTTTCGAACGGATGATCAATCGATCAGATTTCGGCGTTCGTATCGTTGAAAAGGTACTGAGCTCTAGAATCAGAATAACCATGTTTCACTCTGAGAAAACTCAGATGTTAAAATTCAAAGTAATAAGAGAAAAATGCCATTTTAACATGGAGAGGTTTTTAAACATGGTAAAATCTTATTTTACCCGCAACACATTTCTTTGTGGGTAAAACCGCATTTTAACATGTGAAAAAATCTCTCCATGTTAAAATGACGACAAAATGCCATTTTAACATGGAGAGATTTTTGAACATGGTAAAATCTCATTTTACCCGCAACACATTTCTTTGCGGGTAAAACGGCATTTTAACATGTGACAAAATTTCTCCATGTAAAAATGGCATTTTGTCGTCATTTTAACATGGAGAGATTTTTTTACAT